TCTCTGGACACATGAGATTCTAAATTTTTTGAATATTCTAACTTTACGTGTAAAATTTGCTGAAAATGTAGTCACTTTCTAGTGGATAGGGAAAAGGCGCCAACCCTCTTGGCCCAAAAAGTTTTTCCTAATCTCTAAGAAAATTTTCCTAATTTACTGAATGAAGGGATGATTTTTTTTTTTTTTTTTTGACTTAGAGCTCTTGTATTGAACGCTTAGTATCACTGTTCTTTCCAGTCCATAACTTTCACCTTCTGTTATTGGTTTACACAAGTATTGCCTTGGTAGGTCTATTCTTGTTGTGAAAAATCATTTTGATATAACTTATATTAGGCAAAAACACGATGCCAAACACTGACGAGAAGGATTTTGCAGTGTCTTGTTGATAAATTTTATTTAGACAGTTTTGAGTATTGTTGATTATCGATACCAAGAAGGTATATTCTAGAATTATACAGCAAATTATTGGTTCAGGACACAAGTCCTTAAGCAGCTCATTGTTTATTTTTATATATCAAAATTGATTATATATGATATTCAAATGATAATTCTCTGGACACACATGAGATTCTAAATTTTTTGAAACTATTCTAACTTTACGGTAATGAATTTGCTGAAATGTGTCAGTTTCTAGTGGATGTAGGGAAAAAGATGGCGAAAACCTCTTGCCAAAAAGTTTTCTCCTAATCGTCTAAGAAAATTTTCCCTAAATTTACTGAATGAAGGGAATGATTTTTATTTTTTTTTTTTGAGGATTTTTCGCCATTATTTTTTTTTTTTTTTTTTGGATTTTCCCATTCTTTAATTTTGAAAAAAAAAAAAAAAATCCTTTTAGCCCTCCATGAGGGTTACATCTTGGCTTGACCCCCTTTTTAACTCCAAACAACATTATTAATTTAAGATTTGTTCTGTAAAATTAAGTGCTTTGGTAGCTGTTAACTGTTATAGTAGCGTTTAACTGTTATCTATTTGAATAGCTTTTTTATAAAACGCTAAAAGTTAAGCGTTATATGATAATTTTTCACAAAACGCTATCTTAATATTTGAAAATTAGTTTAAACAAATATATTACAAAATACTATAAAAGTTGGCGTTTAATATGTTAAGTATTTAAAAATCTATGGCGGAATTAGACAAATCTATGGCTGATTTTGGGCTTCGTTCTTAAGACAGCGACACAAATTGATCGCGAAATGACCAATAGAGCACTCTGTCCGTATAACTGTAACCTACTGCAGTGACTGACATTTACCAAAACATTACGGCAGTTAATACTGTTCATAAACTCTCAACCAACAGGGTAATTGTGGCAGTTGAAACCCATCATTTTCCTATACACATTAGTCACCGATTCAATTCTTTCTTTTATTTGATCAACTAAGGAAGGTTTTGCGGCTATATATACACTACTAAATATTAACTAAATTAATCATATTCACACCTATATATTTGATATTATTTATAAATTGGTCGAATATGTGAATTTATCTAGTGAATATATAATTTAACTCAACTCGTAAATCATAAAAATGACCAATCTAACTTAATTTATTATGTTTTTAAATCCATTAAGTGAAATTGGATTGAATTGAATCTCTCAAATTTAATTGAGTTAGAACGGATTGTGTGTAGCCCTATCAAATAATCTATCAAATAATGAAAATATCTCTTCATTAATAACACAAATTCAAAACCGCAAGCTGAATGCCTATATACGGCAAGTAAATCATGAGATGATAAAATTTATGAAATAGAGAAGATGAATTTATTCAATTTTGACAACAATTTAGTAATTGAGTGACTCATACATAATACATAATACAATAGAGAAACAAAATTTGTAGCTATTTTCATTTTATAAATTTTCAATACAAAAGAAAATATAAATATTTTGTTGTAATTATCTTCCTTCTTCTAACAATAAAAGAAAAAGAAAATTGACCATTTAGTCCTTCAATATTAATTGAAATTGCTATCATATTCCTATTGTTCGATAGGAAGATTGATTCATTCCTGAAATTTAGTATTACTAAACTATTTAGTTCTTCTGTCCTAAAAGTATATTTTTTCCCGCTAAATATCATGTCACATTTGATTACATGGTCTCTTATGTTTAATATTGATTGATATTATTTAGTTCCTCACCGTCATGATTAAATTACTATATATTTAATCCCTCATTTAATGGCAAAAATGATATTTTTTTAAAACATAAGGACTAAATAGTTTAATAGAATTAAACCTTATGAATAAATCAACTTACTCAAAAAATAATATGTGAATAGAAAGACGATCTAAATGTACTAATGTAGTCAAAAGAAAGGGAGTAAATAGTTAATTAATGACTAAAAAGAACATCCATCTCTTTTTTATTCACTAAGTACAAGAAACATAGTTAACCTATTTTAAACACAAACAAAGATCACAAGAACATAGACCTAAAAGATTGCTATGAGAAATACGAGAAGTGTATAGTTACAATTCGTAGGAACTAATGATCGGAGGATGTTCGTGTGGGCTCTATTGCTTATACTATTGGTGTAGTCATAATTTCCAAGTGGCAACGAGCGTCTATGAATCCGAAACACTGCCCATCAAGATTAATGATTCTATTGCCAATCTCAAAAACATTCAACATTATATCACCTTCTGTGCATTCATTTGTGTTTCATCCACAATTTCCAAGGTGCAAACTTAGATTTTTCATCCACAAGCAATGATATGAATATGAGACCTAATGGTTCTATATACATACATAGTTGTCAATAACGTATACATCAATCTTGTAGCCTTATTTTTGGAGCATTGAGGGACCAATCGTTTCAATTTATTTCCATCTTTTTCTTTTTTTAATTTCTAAAATTATATTTAGTAATGAGAAATTTAATTATAGTTGATTTGCATTTTAAGAATTTCTTATTTTGATATTAACTATTTGTATTTCGTGGTTATTAGACTAGAATTGCATGTTTCTAACACCAAATCTGCTTCGTAAAGAGTAAAGTGTTTTCATTGAATGTTTGCTTTTGAACACTCTTATAAATCTCCATTTAAGAATTTTTAGTCCAAGAGAGAAACTTATGAGTGTATTTTCCAAGAAAAAAGGGGTTTGAGAGTGAGAGAATTGGAAAATTACTGCATAAGTAGGATAATTTAAAGAATATGGAAAAAAAAAAAAAAAAGGAAAGAGAGGAAATAGGCCATTGAATTGATTGGTGGGTGGTGTTGGTCTGTGGGTCAGGTGATGCTGCATTCCTGCATTCCTGCACACTCGTGGCATAGACAAAGATGATAGGTGAGGTGTAAAAAGAAAGTAGATGGAGTGCCAGCTCATACATCTCAAACAATGAAAGGACCCCACGTGGACACGACTCTTTTGCCAGTTCACAATCCTACGCCTCCTTATAGCTGTCTCCTTGTCCCTAACGCTGCTCTCTTCTTTTTCAACCTGAACAAGTTCAATTATTTATAGAAATAAAAAGCTCAGAATATAAAGGGCTATGTATGAAGCAGCAACACAAGTATAATACTAAAATACGAATATAATTTTCTTTTTATAGTATCCAAATTAAAATATTTTGCGTTGTAAAATGGAGACGACAAACGATTATGTTCGATTAGGAATGTGGTGTGGCTGTGCGTGGAAGAGTTCAAAGTCATAAGTACAAAGTCATAATTTGAAACACTTGGTATGACTTTGTTTTTTGGTGGGGTTATGGCTAATTTCAATTTAATGGGTGTTATGTAAACTAATTAGGTAGTACTATATATAAAATTAGCTTTTCATCAATTTAATATATATTTTTGATGATTGACCTCGGAAATTGTATTTGCCCACACATCATCAATATTTTTCCTTTGCTTTTCTTACATTCCTACAACAATGTCTCTCATCGATCATAGAACATAAAGGTTTTAATCCTTTAGTAAAGTGCTCTTTCCAGCATTAAATTTGTTTTTTCATCCTTATAGAGATTAAGACATTTATCATCCTAATCAACACTTAGTTAATTACATATTTAACCAATATTATAGCATTATATTATATTGGTTTTAATTAAAGTAATTATATTTAAGATTGCAAAATTATCAGTTTAATTCTCCATCATTTAATTAAAACACAATAAACGTATCCAAATAAAAAAGAATAAAAGAATATTATTAATAAAGTATAGTTTGGTTGATCTTCTTATTTATACGAGTGAGAGATTTCGAGTTCGAGTCCTCTTAACTACAAAATTTTCACAAATTTAATAAGCTTAAGGGAAAACTATCATCTGTTGTATAAATTATAGTGTTATTTGGGCTTATTGAGACTCCTGATGAATAAAAAAAGGATAAGAAAAATATTACATTTGTATTCTATTGAAAAGTTTTTGATTGGTTTCATATATGCCTTATGTAAGACATTGTTTTCGTCCTAATTAATTAGCTGTCTTTTGTGCATAACATAGTAACAGGCAATGTAAATGGTGAATAAGAGTGATAAGTATATGTAGAATCTGACGATAAATCCATTCGAATCCCTCTTCCCTGAAGAAAAAAAAAAAAGGAAAAATCAATTGGAATGTTTTGATATGGGATGAATCAATTTATTTAACGAGTTAAACAACAATATTTAAAGCTTAAACCTACTCTATTCATTAGTGGTGTTAATAATGCTATAAATAAATTTTCTCTTAACGAAGGAAATGAAGTCCATTCGCTATTTTACAGATAGAAAGACCCCACCATGGGTATATAAAATGTTGAGACAACTAATATCCAACCATACTGTAATACTTATAGTATTATTATTAGCAAATAAATAAACAGGCAATTATATTCATTAAGATTAAACATCTTAAATGTGCAATACAAAGAACATAAAGAAGAACACAAAAAACCAACTAACAGAAGGTGGAAAAGAAAATTAAAAATAAAAACGGATTATTATGATTGATTGGAGGGTTGGAGAGTATATTAATGCAGAGACAGAGAGGACAGATTCAAATGCTTAGTCACGCAGCTGTCATTCGATATTACAAACTCACTCTCCTTCATTATCTTTCCTTTGTAGACAGCAAATTAGAGTTTGCAGCTGTCGGATCTTTCTTTCTCTCTCTCTCTCTCTCTCTCTCTCTCTCTCTTTCTTTCTTTTCTTTCCTTTTTAATTTAACCTTCCCAGTCCATTTCTTGTCAAGAAACTTATCGAGTAATAACAGCATCATAGACTAACTCTTTCTATCATTTTCTTTGTCTTAAAACTCTTGCAATGATTCTTTTCTGGATAATGGAAATGGAGGCACCCATATCAGAGACAATATAATGAGTAGGTTCAAGAAAGGAATCTGATATAATCCAGAATTTATGCATGAACAGGAACAAGAACAAGAATAAAGAATACCCATCAACTCGTAGTTTGATGATTTGCACGCTATGGCGTATCCACATTATCGATCTCAGTTCGGTGACACCACGTTTACTAAAGTGTTTGTTGGTGGTTTAGCTTGGGAGACTCCTACTGAAGAAATGCGTAAATATTTTGAACAGTTTGGAGAGATTCTTGAAGCTGTTATCATTACTGATAAGAATACAGGAAAATCTAAAGGATATGGGTTTGTAAGTTCATAATAGATTGTTTCTTTTTACTAATCAATTATTATTTTTTGTTGTTGTTAATTGTTTTATTATTAATAGGTTACTTTTCGTGATCCTGAATCGGCTAGAAGAGCTTGTGCTGATCCAAACCCAGTAATCGATGGAAGAAGAGCTAATTGCAATATTGCTTCTCTTGGTCGGCCTAGACCTTCACCTCCTCGAGGTCCAATCTCTATCTTCACCAATGACAATGTCGTTAAATTAGTTGCATTAAAATAACATCAACGGCAATCTTGGTTGTTAATATTATTGCAGGAAGACCTCAGGGTGGTAGTACCAGTACTAACCAATACCAAGGAAGTCAATCATATAGTGGAGTGGCAACACCTTTGCCTCCTACTCCACAGCCACCTCCGCTGCCGCCGCCACCACCACCACCTGTTATCTATCCACATTACGGGTAATTAGTTGTTGCTTTCTATTATATTTTCAGGTTAAGATTTTATAGATTACTTGGAGGAAATGGTCCATACTTTTAAAAGTGGCATAGAAGTTACGCTTTTTTCTATGTTTCATTTATTTTCCTTTGGCCTTTGGGACAGTTGGTATCAGCCTGTAAACAACAAATCATATATTGACTTTAGTAACGTGCCACCACAAAAATAAAAAATCAAAATAAAATAAAAAATACATAAAAGGCAACCCAAATAATAAAGACTGGGTAATGAAGAGGATAGTGTGCAATGGTCTGTCGAAGTGCATAAGCTTACATATATTTCAGGACAACTACTATACAACAATGTGACCCACCTGCGTCTTCATCTATGCACATTGCTTACAATATTTAATTCATTAAAACTATTTTCTTTTAACTAAAACTAAGATTTTTAATGCAAAAAAAAAAAAAAAAAAAAAAGCTTACAATATTAATTCAATAAACTAATATTATCTTTAACTAAAAACTAGATTAATGCAAAAAAAAAAAAAAAAAAACTATAATTAACAAGTTTGAACAGTTTTTTAAATCATTTGGTCTGTTGATAAAAAGAACATACATATAAGTTTTTTTTTTTTTTTTTTTTTTTTTTTTTTTTTTTTTCATGTCAAAAACTCAAAACCAATGTTGTTTTTTTTTTTTTTTTTTTTTTTTTTTTTTTTTTTCAGTCAAAACTCAAAACCAATGTTGTGTTCTAATATCTTGGTTATGGTGAGGAAAACGAAAGCTTTGTCCTTTCCTTAATATTACCATCTGTTCTCCAAGTGTCAGGTCATAGTCCAGCTTTATTTTCACTGTTAACTCTACCCTGTAAATTACTATATGGGACAAAGTTATTTATTTACTTTTTTTGAGGATATCTGCAGAGGACAAAGTTATATTTGTCTTCATTTTCTTTCTTTTTATTATCAACTTCAAAGCTTTGTAACGTGAAACCTTCGTCTTTAGGGTTTTATTAATTAATATTGGATTTCTAAATATAAGTTAAATCATTATATTTTTATATATTATACGTTCCAAGTTGAAATTAATTTATTTTACCCGTATCATATTTAGTTGGGTAAGTAGTTTAGGAAAGTATAACTAATTTTCAAAAAGTGTACAAAATGTTTAAGTTTAGTTTGCATTATTAATTCTACCGTTTCATTCAACTTATTTGCGCAAGAAAAATAAGTTTTTTAAAAATGAATAAGAAAATTGCACTTTTTTAATTAAGTGCAATGAATATATCAATTTGTTTTATTACCAAATATACTTAAATTTATATTATTTTTATTACCAAATATACTTAAATTTATATTATAAATATTATTGTATTTTATAATTTGAGATGAATTTACTTGAAAATAAGCTATTTTGAAACAAACCAAGCCTTAATTGCCTCGTGCAAGGATGTGAGTTTGACACGCCCTCACCCATAATATCTAGTTACGAGGAGCTATATTGGGCAAATGATGGTGACATTTTGATTAATACGAAACTTCATAGGCAAAAGAATTGTGGGTCAATCCTCAAAGTTACATGTATATGATTAATTAAGATTAAGATACTACTAATAATATCTAATTAATTAATATATTCACCCATAATTGTGTTTCACTTAATTACTATCTTTGTTCCATAATATTTGTCACATTTGAAATTTCATGTTTCTTAAGAAAACTATTAAATTATCTAAGTTACAATAAAATATTTAGTAAATTAACTTTATTACCCTTAATTTAATACTAATTCTCTAAGAAAATTATTAAATTAAAATAATAATAATTAGTAATATATAAAGAGTAAACATGTAAGTGAGATAGTATAATTTTGACGATACCCTAATCCATAACCAAAAACGTTATTGTTGGTAAGAGTTGCTATCATGGTAGGTCCACAATTAATTACTTCATCATCCTACAATTTCGTCTATTGGAGTAGCAATTTTTCAGTAATTAATTCTTTTAGAAGAAAGATTGGTGAGTTTTAGTAATTATCTTTCAATTATAGTATATAACACATATATTACTCCTATTAATTCCAATTTTATTTTCAGGTACCCAGCCTACACTCCTGACTATGGATACCACCAGGTTAATTAATTAATTTACTTCCTTACTATATATATTTTTTCTATAAGCTAATCTTAATTAAGAAAAATTATTAATTAATAATTGTATTAGTGCATGCAGGCAATCTATAACCCACAGGTTCAACAACCTCAATACTATCATCAATTGTACGGATCATCATCATCATCATCTACAATGGGCTCACCATACTATTATCATGGCTACACTTTGCAACCTTTAAGGGGTGCACTTTCTGCCCCTCAGCCTCAGCGTTTACCGGCGACCGGACCACCGTCTTACTTTTACTACCCAAGTAATACTCTGGAGCCATACCCTCCTCCACCTAATTTTCAATCCACAAGGCATTCCTTAGTCCCCTCTTCTACTGGTACGTTTATATGCACTAAGCTTTGTTTAATTTCTGAAATTTAATTTTACTAATAAGATTTTAATATTTGTATATATGGTGGGGCCACATTGTAAGGTACTGAAGCATGTGGATGAGCTGTCTGGTTATTGGTGTGACCCAAATAATGGGTCAATGTTAAAGGTAGTGACAGAGGAGCATATAGTGTAAACAAATAGTGACTGCATGTGGTTTCAGTGTCAAGATGATGCTTCATAATTCTCAAGATGCACTTCACAATTCTTGTATACCCAGATGCCCACTATATAATAATAATAATAATAATAATAATAATAATAATTTTCACCAAAAGAGTGAAAATTTTCTGAATCCAAAACCGAACTAAAACCTTTCATTTCTATGCATTAAGAGTGAAAAGACTCACACTTGTGATAATTATACTTTAAATTTGATATATACTTTTCTGTTTTGGTTTCAGATTCACCGCAGACTCCACAGAATTCTACTACAGAAACAGAAGCTGGTGTGGTTACTTCAGAAAGTACAAATCCTTAAAGCTAAAACAAGAAGTCATATAAATATATATATAAATGATTCAGTGACAAAGCTTAATTTGTTCAATCTCAGTTAAATATTTATCTTCTATATTCTCAGCATTCGCTATTAATTTACTTTTGCTGCATTATTAGGTCAGTACTGAGTACTACTACTACTGCTTCAGGGAGGTAAAATTATTCATCTTCTCTCCCCAGCAGAAAGGATTCAGACTAATTGCTATGCTGATCTTTTTCTTTTCTTTTCTTTTTGGAAAAAAAAAAAAATTCAACTATTATTTTTTTTTCTCCATGTTAATTAATTTGAATTAATCATTCTTGTAAGATATAAAAAGCTTAATTTATTAACATCTTTTATTAAAGTTGTATGATGAGCATAAGTAGTGAAGTAGAGTCCCCCAATAAGATATTTTGTCAAACCGATTATTTTTATTTATTTATTTATTTTGATGGAAATGATATGTCTTGGAAAAATATATATGCATTGGATTTACCTTCAAAATTTTGAGCATATACTCAAATTATTTGACGGTTCAGATCTGATATTTATGATATGAGACGTGAATTGTTGCAAACTTTTCAAACCCAGGAGTTGTATAAGTTAACTGAAACCCATTAATTTTTCAGTTCTGAAAGGATCTAGCATAAATATTCTAGATTCAATATCTAAGGATTCAATGCTAAGTCTCATCTTTCAGTACCCTCATTTAGACATTTCAATCCATGTAAATGTAGATCCATCACATTTCCAAGCATTAATGCATATATATAAGCGTTGAATTAAAAATAATAAACATTCATTAAAATGGGAAATCATCATTAACACTAGAAAATACAACTCAAAGATAGGGTTAGGAAAAGTTGGAACTCTTTTTAAAATCTGATTCTTGAAATCAGATCTCCTTTCGGTCTTCTTGACGAAGCCTCCTAATCATCCAAATCTTGAAGTTCAAATTGTAGAGTTTTCCCCTTGATTTTAGGCCCCAAGAAGGGCCAAATGGCCTCTCTTGCCTTTGAGTTCTAGTTGATCTATCTCTTATATATGTTGTTGAAGAGTTTGGGCCGAGAAATTTCAAGTTCATTCGTCATTTTGGTACTATAAAGCCTCGCGTACAACTGTATAAATGCCCGTATAAGTCCCTAGAGAAAACGAATTCTTTGTTAAAAAAATTTTATTTTCTCTTTTTATTGGATTAGTATAATTTTTAAGGTCAATAATTAGTTTATGCAAACGCAATTTTAAATGAATAACCCAATATGGTATAGCCTTTAATTTGGAGTTAGGAAATTTTGCTCAAATAATAAACTATATATTCATAAAAAAAATTTATAAAATTTATAGATATTATTATAATCCATCTAAATTAAGTCAAAAAAGATTGGTTTATATTATGATTGTGTTTACGTCTACCCTTAATATTGTTTATTCCTCTTATATTATGTTTAGCAATGAATTCTTTTATAAAATTTATATTCCTTTGTAATTGCTAATTTTACCTTAATTAGAGGCAGTTTTATTATATATGTCAGACAAGCATAATATGTAAAAAAAAAAAAAAAAAAAAAAAAAAAAATGTTCCAGACAAGCATAATATTGTGTTTTAAAAAAAAAAAAAAAAAAAAAAAAAAAAAAATTTAAAAAAAAAAAAAAAAAAAAAAAAAAAAAAAAAATTAAAAATAGATTTTTTACATTACTTTTACTTACTATAAAACAATGAAAAGATTAATTAACTATTAATGTCATAAAAAATCACTCAACCTACAAAATTGTCTTTATGTTTTTAATTCTTAATTCTAAAAACCATGGCTGACTCTAATACTTTAGTATTCGAAACATGATGCCATTCCAAAAATATATATTGGACAAATTTAAAATAAATAAGTAAATTAAAAAACAAACACTTATAATTAATTTCACTGAAAGTAATTTTTATATTTTGTTCCCATTATGGACCGGATAGTTATTATATATTACGTGCTAATATAAAATTGCAACGATGGCATAATTTTACAATAAGCTAGGCTCCCTTTGTTCTAACATACAAGAAAAAGAAAATAAAACTTAGATTATAATTGGGGAAAGGTTATAAATGAGAGGTCCAAATGATGCATAACCAGAGTTAGAAAGTAATCATCAATATGCTCTGTCACACAATCCCTCTTTGGATTTTCTGTAATGCCAACTGGCTGTTTAGAAAATATGAAATTTAACATGTTTTGCCTTTGATTTTCAACTTTCTGTATTGCAATTCTTGCCAAATTCAGTTCCTATGGGCCATAGAAATTTAAGGTATTTTCTTTCTTCCCCAAATTTGGAAAAATAATATTATCAGAATAAATTTATTATTCTCTTAATTAAGATTGTTTTCATTCAACTACATTCTTCTCCAGCCACCCTACCCTTACCTGCACTACTCTTATTCTCATATTATATCTATCTTCTTATATTAAAAACCTTTTTGCATATTGTGTTGCTCTTATAGCATGCATGGAGATGGAGTCTTGTTACAGTTTTTGTAACACTAATAATCCCTTAGTAGATGCTGATGCTTCTTCTTCTTCTTGTTCTGCTGCTTCTTCTTCTTCTTCTGCTTCTTCTTCTTCTAATAGGAGTGATAATAATAAGCAGACTGATATCGAGCCACTTGATCTTTTTCCACGCAGTACTTATAATTCTGTTGAGCCACAGCCAATATTTAGTGAAAACCCTAGAACAATATTAAGCAGAGATGGAGACAAAGAAGAGGTTACTGTGGCCTTACAAATTGGCCTTCCTAATTATACTTCTCATAGCTCCATCGATTCCAATACTAACAGTAATAATGCAGATAAACAATATTGGATACCAACTCCTGAACAAATACTCGTTGGCCTTACTCATTTTTCTTGCCATGTCTGCTTTAAGACCTTCAACCGCTACAACAATCTTCAGGTTAAATTTTCCTATAGTTATTTCTTTCTTTCTTTTTTTTTTTTTTTTTTTTCTGTTTTTTTTTTTTTTTTTTTAATTTTCTAGTTTGCACGTGTTTTCACGCTCAATTTTTTTTTTTTTTTTTTTTTTTTAATTTTCTAGTTTGCACGTGTTTTCACGCTCAATTTAATGATGTTCAGATAAAATCGTCCCAATAGGAATAATAGTGAGCATATGATTATGCTTCACGACCATAATCTTAATGATTCTTCCCATTGTCATAATCTCACAACAATTTTGATTAATTTCAGATGCACATGTGGGGACATGGATCACAGTATCGAGGAGGACCCGAGTCGCTAAAGGGAAGTCAGCCGCGAGTAATGTTAGGGATTCCTTGCTACTGCTGTGCAGAAGGGTGCAGGAACAATATACAACATCCAAAAGCAAAGCCTCTAAAAGATTTCAGAACATTGCAAACACATTACAAGAGAAAGCATGGGCTAAAATCCTTTATGTGTAGAAAATGTGGAAAATTCTTGGCAGTGAAAGGTGACTGGAGAACTCATGAGAAGAACTGTGGTAAACGTTGGCTTTGCATTTGTGGTTCCGATTTTAAGCATAAGAGATCACTCAAAGATCATATTAAAGCATTTGGATCAGGACATGGCCCTTTCCTTACAACATCATTTGATGGGAATGGGATTCAGCTTTTGGGCGACAATTCTAACACTCTTGTTTAAAATTGTGTCAATTGGTCAACTGCAATTGCATGCTGCCTTTAAGTTAATTATTATAATCTATCAAATATAATTTGTAGCATAAGTATATTAATTTATTTGTCCCATGTTTTGTGACTCTTGTTTTTTACTTTGCAATTTCCTATTTTAATTTTTTTTTGAGACAAACAAATTATTTAGCTAGTTGTCTTTGGTTATCAAATTTAAAATAGGAAGAGAATACAAATTAAACAGACATCAAATTTCTGAATTGATAATATTCCTAGCACGATAATAAAAAAATAAATAGTTTCCACACCATAAGTAAGGGTGTGGATGTTAGTAAATAGTTTCCAAAATTAATTTTTGAAAAGAATTGGTGGGTTTGAATATATACAAAATGAGGGCCCAAACAAAAATGAAGAACCTGCCCTCAAAACAACAAACTACAAAAGTACAAAAGTAGAACAACTCCTAAACAAAAAACGAGGGTAAAGAGACACGTTCAAGAACACAAGTTATGCGAGTAAAGTTGAGAAGAAACACTTGCAAATTCTGCAACATGTTTCTTGAACCTTTATTTCTAAAACATCACGAGCAAGAATTCAATTATTCAATTCAATGCTCTATATATATACACACACACACAAAAGTGAATTCAAGAATAATAAACTTAATTCAATAAATTTTGAAGTGATATATTGGAAATAATTGAAAGTAAAGCAAACATAATTGAAAGTATGCCTATCAATGTGAGATTTCATTTTAATTTTTTAAATTGGGATTGATTTCAAGTATGGTTACAAAATATATTATTATTTAATACCCAATAATTTTCATCTGTATAAGGAGAAGAGTGAATTGATAGGCATCCAAATCTTTGCTCATGGACATTTCACAATTTCTCATATAAAAATGATTGATTTTTGTGGAAATTTCACAAGTTCTTTGTCACATTCGATAATCCAACAAACACCACTCAATTCTTTTTTTTGGCAAAAGAAGGAGATCAACAGCTCTAAAAATCACAAACAACAATCTGGGATAACCAACAACCACTGCATCATGCATAAGCCAGCCGCTCATCCCGCAGGAGGCTCCACTAACCAGTGCGTCCCTATAGTGAAGCTCTTTGCTATTTTAGTAAGAAAATCAGCGCAGAAATTGCATTCTCTATAGGTGTGCTGAAGCTGATGACGGGATTATAACTTATCTTGAGTGGGGCCCGCGGAAAAATGCTGGTGGTAGAAATAAAATAAAATTATCGACGATAAAAGTTAATAAAAATGATAAAGATATAAATTACTATTACTACATTTACCTCCAATAAGTACGTATTAAATATTGATGATCGAATCCACCATAAATAATAATCACGGTAAAAAATTAAATAATTACCGTAAATACTAGATGAAAAATAGGGACACTGAGATTTACGTGGCTCACCCTTTAGCTGTTATGGACTACATCCACGGGACAAAACTCCGAATAATTCTTCCACTATTAAAAATAGTAGATACAAAAGAGATTATAAAAATAGTGGCACTCTAAGTGTTTCCAAAAAAATAACCCAAAAAATTATAATCCTTACTATTTTCCCTCTTACCCAATTTTAGGAACCATTTCCTAAAATTTTCTCTACACTTAACTGTGTAGACTTCTTCGTTTTGTTTTGTACAATTTATTGAGGGAAAAGTTCTCCGATTTATAAGAAAAGGGGATACGTTAATCACCGCGTCCATCGACTACGCGCAATTAACGCATCCATCTTCACGCAGTCTTCTTTGAACAAAGAAAAAAAACGTGTCTTTCCCCGTTTTTTTTTCTTTCTTCAAACTTGTGTGTGTCCCATATGTCGGAGGGACCTACAACAACTCTCCCCCTCCCGACTACATGGTGGGACTCTTCATTCCTGCCGCTTTGACACACAGTTCGAACTTCTCTTTTGGAACGACCTTTGTCAATTGTGTTGATTCCCATATGTCGGAGGACCTACAAAACAAACCCCCCCCTCCCGACTACATGGTGGGACTTCTTCATTCCATGCCGCTTTGACACACAGTCGAAACTTCTCTTTCTGGACGACCTTTGTCAATATATCCGCCGCATTTTTTTGTTTGTGTGAATCTTTCGTAACTTTGAATTGCTCTCTTCAATGGCATTATCCTAACGCCAATGATATCTTACATTAATGTGCTCGTCCCGCTGCATGATACTTAGTATTTCTTGCTTCAGTCTAATAACGCACTTTGACTATCACAATAAACTATATGTTCTTCCTGCTGCACACCCAATTCTTGAAAAAATCGCTTTAACCAAAGCATTTCCTTTCTTGTTTCCGTTGCTGCAACGCACTCTACTTCGATCATTGATAATGAAACATATTTTTGTAATCTCAACTACCATGAAATAGCTCCCTCTGAGAATGTAAATAGGTATCCTGATGTAGATTTTCTTTCATCAAGATCACCGGCCATATCTGCATCTGTGTACCCAATAGGTGCAGGCTTTTCACCTCCAAAAGTTAAACATAAATTTGAAGTTCCTCTCATGTATCTAAAGATCCACTTCACTGCTTCCCAATGTGTTTTCTGGGGATTTGATAGAAATCAGCTCATAATGCCAATTGCATGAGGGATATCTGGTGTCGTACACACCATTGCGTACATCAAACTTTCAACCGTTGAGGAATATGGAACTTTTAGCATATCTCCTTTTTCTTTCTCTGTTGATGGGTAGGATTTCTTATTCAACTTGAAGTGAGTGGCAAGTGGAGTGCTAACTGGTTTAGCATTCTTCATATTGAACCTCTCTAGAACTCGTTCAATATATTTTTCCTGCGATAACCATTAACCATCACCTGCAGGACATTTCTGTCTCGGATAATCTCCATTCCGAGAATTCACCTCTGCCAAATCCAAATCCTTCATATAAATGCTTTTGACAAATCACTCCTATTAATCTGCTACATCATGCTGTGCATCTGGTCCAACGATTAGCATATCATAAACATATAAGAGAAGGATGTAAATTTACCATTAGGAAATTTCTGGACATATACCCCCAAGGATCTGCATCTGTCCTTTTGTAATGCCTTGATTTACAAATGAAAGAATCAAACTTTTTTAATAGCTATTGTTGCGGTGCTTATTCAACCCGTACAGGCCTCTTCTTCAAGTTATAACCATGTCTCTTTTCGTTATCTGAAACCTTCTGGTTGTTCCATATAGATTTCTTCCTCTATATCCCCATGCAGAATGTGGGTCTTTACATCAAGCTGCTCTAACTCAAGATTCAACTGGCTACTAGAGCCGAGCACGACGACTAGTTTATATGTTCTCAATAGGTTGCCATCATCTTCTTTCAGTTCGTACACCCTTTGTTCTGAGTGTTCTCTTCCCTTTATGGAAGTTTCACTAGTTTATATGTATCATTCTTTTTCAAAGAATTCATCTCTTCTTGCATGGCTTTGTCCAGCAATCTTTATCTTTGGCAAGATTGGCACATCTTGGAAGGCTCTCCTGGCTCCCCCTCATCAGTAATCAAAATGTTTTAATTAGACGTAGGGTACCTTGTAGATGTTTGGCGTTGGCGTTCTCTGGTTGACCTTCTTAACTAAGGTTCAACTCCTTCTGGTGGAACGGGGTTCTCTGGCTCCCCTTGCTCAACACCCTCTGCATCACTGTTATAATCTACAATCGTCTATTGATTCCCCATGACTGGCTCTTCTTCTTCTTCCCGTTCTGATTCTGGCATTCCTCCTCTCGTGATATCATATGTAGGAATGCTTCCTAGTGCAAATCAACAACACCATCAGTTGTGGATTCTTCACAAGTTGTATCTGCCATGATCTCATTCTCGTGGAATACTACGTCTCGGCTCTGGACAACTATCTTTTTCACTGGGTCCCATAACCTGTAGCCAAACTCTTCATCTCTATAACCGATAAAAGTGCAAGGAACTGACTTGTCATCAAATTTTGATCTCTGCTCCTTCCGAACATGCATAAATGCATTGCAGCCAAATACCCTCAGGTGAGAGTATGAAATATTTCTACCTGTCCAGACCTTCTCCAGGATATCAAAATCCAAAGCCGTTGAAGGAAGTCGGTTAATTAGGTAGACAGCAGTATTGACAGCTGGCTTCTGCCCCAAAATGGCTTTAGGTTAAGTTGGCCATTTTAAGGCATGGATCTGACTCTTTCAACAATGGTGTGATTATTCGTTAGCAACGCCGTTGTGTTGCAGGCGTACCGGGAACTGTCTTTTCATGCATGATACCATGCTGACTACAAAATCTCTAAACTTCCTTAAAGAATTGTATTCACACCATTATCCGTGCGCAACACTTCCAACGCACATCAGTCTCCCTTTTCCACCATCGCATGGAATTGCTGAAAGTGCTTGACTACTTGGTCCCTTTGTGCGCAGACAAACATATCCATGTTTTTTAGAAATCATCAATGAAGGTTAGAAAATATCTACTTCCTCCATCGAGTAACATAATTTTCCTCTCGCCACCACCAAAGACCCTTTGGTGAGTTTCCAATTAACGTCACCTATATGATAGTGATAGCGTTCCTTGTCCAGTACACTGACAGACAACAGGTTCAACTGAAGATCGGGAATATGTCTTACATTTTTAAGTATTAATGTGCACCTGACACTTGTCTTTACGCAGACATCACCGATTCCCACTATTTGCGAGACACTATTATTTTCCATTCTAATAGTGCCAAAATCTCCTGCTTTATAAGTGGAAAAGTATTCCCTTTTTGGAACACAGTGGTATGAAGCTGGACACAGTGGTATGAAGCACCCAGAGTTCTACTATCCCAACTCGTAATCTGCACTCTCCAACTCCACTCGGTATCTGCATCTCCAACATGACAGCAATCTGCATCATGAGTGACTAAAGTCACCTCACCATCTTCTACTGAGACTGTAGCAAATATATTTCTGTCATTCTCCTGTCTTCAGTTTACATTATCCTGTTTGAGTAAATGGCAATTCCTTTTGAGATGACCCTCCTTGCTGTAATAATAACACTTTCTCATTTCTCTGGACTTGGATCTTCCACCTGACTTTTCATGCCTTGGACCTCTACTCTTGCTCCGGCCCCTATACTTTGTGACAGGGGCTTGTAAACTAG